ACTTGTACCTTTTTATAAATGTACTATAAAAATAATGTGGTGTAATTATTTTCTTAAACCTTGAGGTTAACAAACTTTCTAAAATTAGAGGTAAAACCATTAAGACAAATACAAAAAAATGTGATGCAAAGGTTTATTAAAAGTAGTTTAAATAAAAAATCTTTTGAATCTTTTTTTTATAGTTTGTTTTAAACTTGTGTTAAATATATGTGTAGCATATATTTTTAAAAGCTTGACAAATTCTAATCAGACATAAAATAAATCTTTTTTTTTTAAGTCTGATTATAATTTTTTTTTGTAACTGTTTTCTCTTACTTTTGTATTTCCTGGAGCTAAAGAACAACCTTAAAGTACAAAGGTTGATTTGTAACACATACTTAACCATTTTTTTTACTCTATTTATACATACATATATATGTACATAAATAAGCATACATATATATGAATGTATATATACATACAAATGCTTATATGAATATATATATATATATATATATATATTTATATATATATATGTATATATATGTATATATATATATATATATATATATACATATATATATATATATATATATATATATATATATATATATATATATATATATATATATATATATATGTATATATATATATTTATATACATATATATATATATATATATATATATATATATATATATATATATATATATATATATATATATATATATATATATAAATATATATATATTTAAAGGTTTTTCTTTTATTTATAAAGTTGTACTTGATAATAATAAATAAAGTTGAACATTTTGAATATTTATTAATTATTATGATAAATTATATAAAATATATATAAAGTGTAAATATTTTGTAAAAACACTTTTATTTGCAATAACTGCTTTATTGCATTGTGGCATGCTTGCAATTTATTTTTTATAGTTTCTGTCAACTCTGGGTTATTATGCCAGATCTTGATAATATCTTCCATAAGATTTTTTTTTTAATCTCTTGCTTTACTTTTTCCCAAATGTTTTCTATGGGGTTAAGATCATGCGAGTTGTCTGACCATAGCAATACATTAACTAAGCCATAACAGTTATTATTGTGTGGCAAGTTGCACCATCTTGCATAAATATAAGATTTTTGACATAATTTTTTAATATTTTTAATTTTTTTTGTCAATTTTTGATTTTTTTGGCTGGACATCAATCCCTCTTCTTTTATCTTTCTACAAATGGTCCGGTGTGACACAACAATTACAGCTTCATGGATAAGCTTAGTGGCTTTTTAATCAAATATTGGTTTATAATCAAATATTAATATGGGTGGCGGTAAAGGTAAAGAGAAGTTTAAAGGAACAAAAATTAGGTATTTACTTGTAAGTTAAGTGTAAAATTATATATTTTTTAAAAATCACAGTTCGTTTTTTTAATGCTATTTTTTTTTTAACTTTTTGATGTTTTTGATGCAAATTACTCAGGCAATACCTTTTTTTATAGAGAACGTTTTGTCAATTAAAGTGACTGCTAAAGTTGCCGAAATAAGAAAATAAATAATGACTTTATTAAAATATGCACTCGACAGATCAAATGGTGGTGGTCAGTGCGTAAAAGGCGATTCACCCAATGTATAACATTCATACTTTTTCCTAGTTGTTCTGGAACTATTAATAATAGTTATTATTGATAAATTGATAAATATATTACTGATAATTAAAACTTTTTTTTTTAGACGCTCTTGTTACTTTTTTTTGTAATTTAGTTGGAAGAATACAATCTATTTCACAATTTTGCATCTTCCTTTCTTGTCTTTTGTCAAGCAAAGACTTCTGCTTTTCTTTTAGTACCTTTTTTTCTCTTTCACAACGACAAAATTAAATTTGTTTACATTTACATGAACAAATGTCGAGTAAAACTCTGCTATGTTGTATAAATTCAATTTTTTGATCAGCAGATAATCTTATTAATGATTCGATATGGTTTTTGCACTTTAAATGATAAGCCTTTAATAACTAAATTACTCTTGTGTGTGAAACCGTAAAAGGGACAACTTTCTCGAAACATCTTTTACTTTTTGAGACTCAAGCTTGGCAATTTAAAGTTTTAATTATCTAAAAATGATAATAATTAATAAGTTATATTTTATAAATAATGTGATTAATATAATAATAACAAAGCGATTTCAGTTTTACTATGCAGAATTGTATATGCATTTAAATTAAAGTTTTTATTCTAAACAGAAACTATAAGAAAGAAAAAATATTCATCGATCAAAAGCTAATATTTTTTATACATTTTTTTTTTAACATTAGAATTTACACAAAACAAAACAGTTTTTAATAATAATCCAATCAATGGTATTATTAGGAGGTTTTAACACTAAGTAAACCTTTTAAACAAAGCATAAAATGAATCAAAATTACCTAAACAAACATACGCGTGGACTGAATTGTTCGATAAACATACATCTCTGCAATATAGACCTCCACAAGGAGTGTTGTTTTCACAAATGGGACCAACCTTTAGAAAAATGTTGAAATTTTATACATTAATATTTTTTAAAGTACATCATTTAAATATTTTATTGAAAAAATATTCTTTCTTGCAAGTATATTAAGGATTAAATATTCCTTGAAAGTAAAATAGACAACAAACCAAAAACGTAATAACTTGTTACCTTTGTTAACGCATAAAAACGTTATTGTCTTTTTTTAAAAAAACTTGTATATGTTTTAGGGTAGAGCGGTGCTAGTTAAGAATAGGGGCAATTTAGGCAGTTAAAATATTTCAATTCTGCGCTTCATTTAATGGATAAAAGTAAGGGAATTAGAATGGTAACACTAAAGTAGCTAAAGTTTGTTGGACGGCAGTCGAGTAATATGCACGGACGCTTTTTCTATTTTGAACCAAAAAAGTTTTTTGAACCAAAAAAAAAAAAAAAAGATTGCTATTTTTCTCTTTAGATGCTTATAAATTGATAAAGAGTTGATATTTTACCAGTTTATCGGATTTTTCTAATATAGTAAGCCGTTTTTTTAATTTAAGTTGAACTATTGAACACAAAAACACAACTTAAAATTTTTTTTTTTCCCCATAAAGTTCCTCAATTTACCATGATGGAACAGGTTAAGCAGCTTGCAAAACATATATTTTTTTAAACTAAGTTTTAACTGGTTAAATAATAATTCAAACAGTTAAAAATATATAAAAGTTTAAAGCAGCGTTTATTAGATATGTTAGATTTAGTAAAGATTGGTTAAATAGCTCTACTATAGATTCCATTTTAAACTTAAAAATAATCAAAACATTTTGAAAGCTTTTTTCTGGGTTCATAACTTTCAGACATTCAGCAAACTTTAAAGGTGGGTATGTTTATGCTTATGTTAAGTGAAAATACTTAAAAAATAATATTGCACTGATTTTATAGAAGCCTAAACGTGATTTTATAAAGCATAAGCGTACACAAGTTTGATGTTTTCAATACGTTTTTTAGAAGTCGCAGAACATTAAATGATTTTCGTGCAAAATAAAAATAAAAAAATATATAGATTAATGAAAACTCCATATTACAATATTAAAGTCTTTTAGTAAACTAAGAATAAATCATTTTTATAGAAAAGTTTTTTTTGAATTCAATGTTTTGTGGATTAAAAACTAAAAAAATCTAAGAATTTTTTTTTTTCGTTTGATAATTGCAAGAAATAGTCGATGAAATGCGCAATATATATAGAACTCAGCTGAAAAATTAATTAAGAAAAACAGTATAATAAATGAGTAGAAAAAAAAAAAGGGTTGCAACCACCATTAAGTTCCCTAAAATTTGGCCAAAATGTTGAAAGATTTAAGTCATAAAAAAATGTGAAATTTTTTCAAAAATTTTCTCTTCCTTTACGATTTACAGCAATTTAAAGTTTGTTAGATTTTGACTGAAAATGAGGGAGGTGGGGGCGGGGGAGGCGAAAGTGCCGAAATTGTGTCTATTTACTTTGACCCTTATAAGGTGCTTGTAGTAATGTTGCGAAGCTAAAATTTGGCTTCAAAGGAGTTTAAAATCTGCTGATTCTTAACTTTATAACCTCGTATCTCTTAAAACAATAGAGATTTTTTTTTAGACCCACGAACGCACTAACTGAGGTCAATATAAATTTGCATTGACAACAAATGCTTTCTTAAAAATTTGACCAATGTAAAAAACATTTATTTTTAGCTAGCTTAAAGATCTAATGTAAATTTATTTTTCAAACCATTTTTGTTTTTGCCTTGTTTGATTGGTCGAGGAGTTCTTGATGTTTTAGTTTTTCAACTATTATTTTTTTTAAATTAAAAAAAAAATTATGTTTGCAAATGATATTAAACTAAATACAATTTTATTGTTTACAAAATTTGAACTAGAGTCAGTTGATTAAAAAAAAACGGTATATGTGTGATATTACAATTATTAAGTCATTTACAAATTTATAAATTTATAAATGACATAATAACTATGTCATTTGGATTGTTATTTTCATAATATGTAATGTTAATGTTACATAATATGTTATGTCATTAAATTAAACAATATTGTGTAAAACTTTTTTGTTGAGTTTTTAATTGAAACAAAATAGCGAACTTTTTATTCATAAAATAAGTATTAAAATGACAAATCCACATAATAATGTCCAATTATCGTTAGCTTGTCAAGTTATAAAACATAAAACTGAGTGACTTTAGCCCTTGAGGTGTCTTTGGTCCAAGCTGATTTTTTGGGATTAAAATTCCAAACGTATATAAAATAAAAATGTTATAAAATAATTTTACTAATTATTTGTAAGTATTAGGGTATTTCTACTATATTTTGTGTTGTAAGGATTAAAAATGGGATTTTGTATTAGTAGAACAAAACCAAATTCTTATAAATGTTTGTAATATACTATTTAATTGGTTTAATTGTTAAACTATTTCAGTACTTAGTTTAAAAATGCCTAATAATTATAAATCATGTAAATTACAAATCATGTAAAGAGAAAGTCTGTTGCGTATAGTTTAAATCACGTACATCATAATGTATTAAAAGATTTAAAAGTGGTTTATTAACTTAAAGACAACCAGCTTTAAAACACAAAATATCCAGATCAGTTTCAAAGGTAAGACTAAACACGCATATCTCAAAAAGCATGATTGCTAGCTATTATTTGTATTTACAAAAAAAAAAAAACATTCATTAGATATAAACAATTCCAGGCTTTCCTGTGAAACGATATGACTTTAGGTGTATTGCAGTATAGTATTTAAACAAATCACCTACATTTTTAATACCTTTTAAGTAAGCTTTGTCACAAAATCTTCTTATTACATTTTTTTTGTAAGTGTATATTTTTTGTTACTAACATTGCTGTTTTCATTGATTCAATATAGTTTTTAATCCCTTTTTACCGGCTTGGGCAAAAGCACCTCAACAGGCGGTGTTTTTTAATAATAACTAATATCATAAGTAATATAATTACATTTTTTTTTCAGCGTCTTCACGTGTAGTTACTACCCAGCTAGCACGCATACGTTGGCCAATGTCGTGCCAACGTTGAAAGCGTCGGACAACTTTAATATCTAAGAGCTAATGTCGAGCCAAAGCGCTATGTCGTAATTTATACAAACTGTTGGCCAAAAATAGTTTTGAAGAAAGTGATAACTTTTAATTTTTTTTTTCTTTATGTCATTTATACTAACAATTTATTAACTTATTTAGTTCAAACACCTAAACAGCGCTGCGTTTTTACCCTATTTGAAGATTTATTTGTAAAAGTACAAATTTCGATACTTTCTTTTTTTTTTCAATAGTTAAACTTATTGAAGGTAAAATTTTTAAGAATCGTTTTGCCCTCATGACTGTTTTTTTAAGGGACTTTTCCGAACCACTAGCAGCGCCATTGATTACGTTATTTATTATTATTTATATTGTTTATTTGGAGCAGATCCCATTACCCCCACAGACCTAAATAGTAAACTCTGTTGTAAGCCATAAATTACTAAGAGTACTTCTACAAAAGGTTACAAACTTGGTTTAATTTTTAAAAAGAGAACATTTATAAAACTTTCTTTAAAGTAACAATTGTTCACAATTTTTGCTTTTAATATCGCTACATTTATTTCACACGTCAATCATTTCATCTTCCAAATAATCTTAATTAGTAGCTTCTAAATCATTAATTATTTCATCTTCTAAAGTAATAATTTCTGTTGTTTTCAATAATTCTTAGTCTAAGGATTCTAGTTCTTTCAGTTTTACTGATTCCTTATAGTCCACTTCTAAAACTTAAAAACTCTTTACTTTTTCTGGAAGTTTAAGCAAAATTTTCTTCGTCCGTGTAGATTCCAAGGAGATAGAACTAATAAGAGAATCAAATGATTTCATAGCATGGTTAAGACGTCTATAAAATTTGCTTGTTTTAAACATTTACGAGCATGTAGTTCACGATGTTGTCTGTAATGTTTGTTTCAGCATTTAGATGCTTCCTCTCCTAAAACTACCAAGGGAAATGGCGAGTTTATTATTATTTCTCCTCCATGTGCAAAAAATATGTGAACTGTTGACGGCATTTTATACCAATCATACAGATCTAAATATTGACGGTATATTGATTTACAGTATAGCTCAAATAACTCTGGATTCATTGTTTAATGACAACTTATTGCAATTAAGATATTTTTGAACATTTTAACAATTGTCAAATTAATCCCTAATAAATCACTTAGTTCTTTTGGATCAGAGAAAGCTTTTTAGCAATCATTTCCGGAGGTAGATGTTCCTGCTCTACTAACTGTGGGAAAATCAACTTAAAGATGCTTCCTTTTGAACAATAATTGCTGAATAACTTTATTTTTCTTATTGTATAACGTCTTGAATTCTTTGGTTACTCCCCATTTTTTGAATTCGAGTTGGCATCAAATATGTAAAAAGACACTCTAGAAATCTTATTCAAGCATGTAACGGAGATATCCCATAGATAAGTGTACCTTTTTTGGGTGTAAATCCACTAAGAAAGTTCTTCAAACAATTCATTGCAGTTGGTGTAGTTCCGCAAATACGGCAGCACTGCATTGACGATGTGTTTGTTACAACAAAAATCTTTTCATCAAATATGCAAAAAATAAAGTTATAATCAATAATACCAAACTTTCTATTAACCAATTCAATATTCATTGAATGCAAATCCAAAGTTTCATTTTCTATTTGACATTTTTTTCCTAAATCGACTGTGGCAGTTTCTTTGATGAAATGAAGTTCAATTGCCCAACAAAATATTACACTAAGAGGCATTAAGTTGGTTCACAAAAAGTTATATTTTGTAATTGACATACTAAGCCTCAAAGGTGTTGTTTCAACTGCAAACATGCTTAAATTTTGACTGTCAAAAGAAACGGAAAACGCTAGGTTGTACAAAACCTGCCCAGAATACCCAAACATACTCCAACTGTTTAAAAGTAACATATTTTCATATAGTTTGTTTCTGATATCCAAATAATCTATTTTTTCTTTTTGCCTT